ATATTTCAAAAAGTCAAATTTGTGCCAATTGTACATTAAATTAGTAAAAAGCAGCTTTGTTATAATGATGCATTATTCTGAATTAATCGAATGTAAATGCTTTCTGTAACCATATTATAATAAGTAACTTAATATTAATAAATTCTGCTATAACTTATTTCACCGCCTTACATTATTAATAATCTCGCTTTTATAAATTATAGTCTAATCTGGCCTTTACTCACTCTGAATTTTATCTTCAATGTGTAACGTTGAAATACATCAATATCCCATTCGTTATGGCCTTAACACGACTTCGGTATTTTATCTTAGGGTGTGCTCGTTTTAACATTTTGAGATCTAATCAACTCATCTCCATGTATTATATATAATATACTTTACCTAAACGAATCACTTCGAATTAAGAACATAAATATGAACCTTGCAACAGAAAGTGGACTTAAAGTAAATTCCTTCTTATGTTCGTAATGCGTCTATTAGGTTGCGTCTCGTATCTCAGCTCGTAATAAACCATGTATATTCGAGGCCTTATTGGAGAAGAAATATGGTCCAAGTGTTGCCGATTTTGCTTTCCATAATTCAGCATTTGAAACTAAGCAGACTGTACTTTTCGATACAATTCTATCACAAACGATGCCCTCAACTATAAATAATTTTCATACAGGTGGATTAGACGGGGAATGTATTCTTATTAATACAGATTCCTCTTTTTCTATAATTACTTTTGTTCTTTTTTTGGAGAAAGTTCTGTCTTTTCGCTTCCCCGGTGTTTCACAATCTCCAATAATCGATACGGTATGGTCAAATAATCTAATCTTCATGAAGTAGGTTTTGAATCGGCTGCTTGTAATAAATGCACGAACAGTCACCGAATGCATTCTTGCCTTGTCAAGTCTTCGGAGTATAATTAAAATAGATAAGAGTTGTCTACTTATCATAAACTCTATATCTAATCTCTTTGGTTACATTCCAATAAAGGAAATGACTATTACACGATCAGTATTCCTGGACTACTTGAAGCATATTGTAGAAACCTTTTCCATTCAATGTTTATGCTTCCGAATGCTTACTGCTAACCAAGTACACCTTTGCTTCTTCATAATTTAACCTTCCTTTAGGATTCCAAGCAGAGCTCCATCCCGTTCTATTATCATCCAAACTTGCGTATCCTCTTCCATTCCAAAGACATTCAAAATCGAACAATCGTCGCCGACATTAATGACGGTGCAAGACCTATATTCCCTTCCTATTTTAAGCGAATTTCTAGACCCAAGTAGCATACTTAATATAGCAAAATATATGAATTTGTTTAATCGATCCAGTAATTATATTAAAGGAGATACGCCGGCCAACCTTGTGAAAAGAGTAGGAGGGGAGGATGGGGGTATGTTTTGTGCAGGTTTGTGGTATGAAGATGTGGTAAGGGATGCGTAAAGAGCGAGTGTAAGGATGAATATTATTAAAGTATACAAAAATAAAAACCGCTGACAACAATATGACAATGGTGGTAATGTTGGTAGCAGTGTATGTAGCAGCAGAAGCAATAGTGGTGCGATCATAGTGGACCGTTGGCGGAGTATGCATTGGTCGCCTCTGAAGAGTCACCGGTTTGGAAAACTCGATGACGTTCCCCGGGTGCCTGCTCATCATTTCTTCCTTGATTACCAGCCAAGAAAGTGGTAGCTACTTGCCCGCTTGTATCCATAGCAACGCCGCCCGACGGTTGTCTATGGAAATCGCTGCGAAGGAGTTCCATAAGTAGCGAGTTGGCAGAAAGGTATGGTGAAAGATCCTTGTCGACTAGGAGCTCTCTAGCAATCGTACTGGTACGTTGGAGATCAGGAACACGTACAAACAGTTCACCGAACTTATTTGGTATATCTGCGTTTCTTTCATTGAGATAGTTCATCAGAAGTTGATTAACACACTGCTGGAATTGTTTGACTTCATTAACAGCTTTGAGATTAGCTAATCCAGGCTGCATGAGGAGACACACTTTGAGACATGCGAAGTCCAACATTGAGAAACGTAAACGCTTTAGATCTTGGGTCAGGCGCAGTAAATTATCAACAAGGGCTTCCGCACCCATTTCTCGCGCGGCTTCCAAGTTGATGCACTTAGTTGAAGTCAGACGAATCTCCTGTTAAAGTAAAGAGCATGTCAGCTAATTGTAGGAATTAACATAACTCTTATTAGATTTCAACCCGGTTAATAGAAGCTATTTAAAGTTAGATACTTGTGGAGTAAATTCCCACGTGGTGCACCCTGGGCAACGTATACTCATACGGCAAGAAAGCTGACTTCTGACTTCAAACTACCATATAACCTGACTGAATGTCATACTCGACCACTTTCACAGTACTCATCTTTTTCTCTACCTTTGTGCATGCCTGTCTTTTATACCTGTGAATCACTCCTTTGTCCCCCCCCCCTCCCTAGACATTTTGTGACTTTGACGTTCCTCCCCTTTCTGAATTTCGAAGTCAACTAAAGTGCAAACGATGACTATCACAAAGTCTAAAATTTAATATAAATAAATAAACTTTTCCTAAATGATACTTAAGTTGTTATAACTGACCTATAGTTCCGTACTAGAATTCCAGTCGGGAGATTACACGACATAACGTACAGATTCAAGCGGAAATTAAACGCGTGGATCGTTTTCCAATGAATAGGCATTCTTTGAGAAGAGAAGACACATTCAGACACGGTAAAGACAAACTCAACTTTGTTAGCCTCGCTCTCTCACAACCTGAAACAAAACTTATTCTATTATTGATTGACCTTAAACGATTAAGATTAGATTCCAACTCATTTTGAATAGACCATAGTTGACATTAAAGCACTTTGTAGAGCCAATAATTTAAGACGCCGCAAAATTTTGTCTCCTTGAGTCACATAGGAAAGGTGCTGGACTCAAACTTACAAACGCCCAATTTTCTACCAGTTATACTCCTTAGAATTTATCAGATACCCATACACTCAAAGATGTGGCTTAGACACAGACATCACAGGCTATGTTAGAACGCAGACCGGGAAGTGGCTTACAATTTAAAAATAATAGCACATCTTAGACCTCAATGGCCGATGAAAGCATGTTCAACCCCCCCCCCCTTCATTTTATTGATTTAGTTTCAAGAGGAGGATAATTCTAGTATAGATGCCCCCAAACACAAAATCAACTAACCGAAGGCGTCGGAAGTGATTTCCAACAACAGTCAAGACAAAGCAAATCAGCCCAACAGTTTTGCAGAAGTAGAATTTGATCATCCGTATCGAGATTGCTGAATACGGGCAGACCACGGGACCATCTGACTATGCGATAGAGACGTTGGTCAGCCAAATTAAGCAAAGCACGGTACACTGCGGCCTCTTCCGTTGTGACGTTAGGAGGCAAGATTCCAGTTCCTGTTTGGATGTCGTCGGTGTTTTCAAAATCTAATTTCTCCTCCGGTTCGCCCTCTATGTCCTCCTCAACTTTAAGGATTTCCCTTAGAACCTAAGGAGTAAAATTTAAAACATACAGTGCAATATACGGTAGCATCAAACAAATTTGAAGTCCCGAGGGAATCTCCATAACTTGCCAAAGGGGATGAGGTTATTGTGCACTCACCGACTCCACCATGTATCATACCCATTCTCTTACACCTATTTGTTAGTTGGTTTCTCACAGATGAACAATACACGCGAAGCTAAGTCCTTTCACTGTACATACATTCACGATATCCCTTACAAGACGGGTTCCCTTCATTTAATATTGAGACTATCTTCCACCTACCCAGACCCCCTTCCGCTGTTCACACTTTTCCTAGCATTCAGGCAAGGATGCTGTAACCTACCACCTTTCAATCATTAGTGAAGTATGGAGGTTCTTATGCTCTAGGGAAAAAAAGCAGAAGACAGAGCTTGAAGAAGAGCTAGTCTAAAACCTAAATACCGCCAAATCATAAAATTATCTGATAGTAAATTTTCAAGCTCCACTATGAAAATTTGCAAAGCACATTAAACAATTTCGCTGGGCGTATCTAACATCTTAGTCTTACGCACACAAATGCTAACGAAAATATTCACTAGATTATCATCTAATGATGCTCTAAGCAACCCACCTGAGGCAAATCGGTAACTTCCTGTGCTCTTGACGGCAATCGATAGACCGTGTCATACTGGAAGTTGGTCGAAGATTGTCCATTACCACCGGCAGGATCTTCGAGGACCGCGGGATCCAAGTAAACCCCACCTCCAACATCTTCCGATGCAGGTATCTCATAAGTGGCTGTCACATTTCCACCAATGGACATGATATGAACACTGCCCGGTCCAGTCTCAAGTTTGCCAAAGGATGGGAAGCTACCAGAGGCAGAGACGGCAGTAGTTGAAGTAATCCCGGTACCACTTGAGTTGTTAGGAAGTGGGGCAATGTTAGGAAGACTTGCGGAAGTGGCAGACGAGATGGTCGACTTGGCATCCCCTTTCAGATCACTGGCACTGCCCGAGGCTCTTGCTGCTAGCTGACGAAGGTAACGCGACCCGGGATACATGCTGCGACCACCACGAGTTCTGTCCGTACGAATGGCTACAGAGTCACATGACGACGACAATATGTTAATATTATTATATACTGAACAGTCTTAGAAATAGACAACTATTTAACAACTGGGAGACAAATTCAAACCCCAAAACGAACCTATGAAACGTAATAATCTAATTAACTAAACCTTAAACACAAATAGCACACTCTCAAACTAACTCAAGCTAACATCTCGTAGACAAAGGCAACAACAGTCCAAACTAAAGCCAGGTAAACGGTAAAGGGATAAACCAACGAACCTTCCATACGCATCCCCTTTTCTAAACACTTGACAAAACGACAAGCGGGACATTTTTTGCGCGAAGTTGCCGTAATTTCGCACAATGAGGCCGGGGTGGCCATATGACAGGCATAGCGCTTTGAATTCTGCACTGTGCGCTTGAAGAACCCCTTGCAGGACTCACAACAGAATATCCCATAGTGGTAACCCGATATCTTATCACCACAGATCGGACACGGACCGAGTTTCTCAAATTGCTTCACGTATTGCTGCCATGACGACTCCTTCTACAATTACAGCGACAACAGGTGCGCACGTTAATACCAAGCAAAACAAACTAGTGTTAATCTAACATAACTAGATTAAACTACTGGTAATTAATTAGATAGTACATACAGCAGTTGAGTTCAGGTTGCCACCACGGGAGACGCGAACGGACGATGAAGTTGTATTGGGTGAGAAATTTGCAGAAGTTGCAGCAGCTGCTATAGAAGGTGGAGCAGGAGGGAGGCGATTATTATGAGTTTGACTAAAGGAACGCACAGGTACAATAGGTACTGGATTTTGATGTTGCTGTTGAAGGACAACCACATTACGCTCTCCTTTCACCATACTAGCTGTTTTCAAGGAGAAGCTGCTTATTGGTGTTGAGGTTGCAAAGGTTGTATTTGTCTGTTGCAGTATTATATCTACCAAAATGGGGACACAATGAGTCAGTCAAACGTAAAATATAAAAGCGACTAGAAATAGGTACTTATTAAACATGAGTAGACTGTGGTGATAAGACTTACGTTGGCCACCCTGGTTAACAACGCGAATAGGGGTTGAGGCCAAAGAATTCAATGGAGCAACATTGATTTGCTGTGCCTGTTGGGAGGCTGGAATTAAGATATACGCAGGCTGTTGGGAATTGCTCGTGGTCTGTATTTGCTGACTATTATTTGATGTGAGAATCTGATAAGTCGCGGGGGATTTACCGTCTCCGTGGCCTTGCACTGATACAGATTGGCCACTCAAATCACCCTTTAGCTGAACTGGTCCGTTGGCTGTTCTTATAAACTGAAATATGAACAAGCTTAGTGTTATAACAATTATTCGAAACGCAATTTTTAAAAATAATTGAAGTAACCATACAGTTGACTTCTGAGTAGAAGTTGAAGGAGTAGAGGCAGTTTGCTGTACCGTAACATACTTGATTGAGTGAACAGGCTGCTGCGAAGTTTTAACAGTGATAGAGGACTGGTGGGATAAGATATCAATAGGACTTTTATCCTGTTGCTTTTCATCATCTTTATCATCGTTATCTTTAACCTGGGAGCACAAAATGAATCTGTATAACCAATAAATCCTACTTCAATTGTTATTTTGCGATCATCCTTTAGCTGACCAGATTGTGAAAGATGGGCAATTAATTCTTCCATCTTTTGCTGATTTGAATGCAATCCTTGGGAGAGTTGAATAGTAACATGAGACGTGGCAGGATTTTTCACAGAATCTTGATTTGGATGTTCGTTTGCATCACTATCCATATCTACATCTTCGTCTTTTATGTCATTCTTGGCAAGATCAATAGATTCGTCACCAAATTGTTCTGACATATTTGCAAAGGTAACTGAAGTCATAAAATAAGATTTGATTAATAAGTTATCACAAAAAATTCACGGAAAAAAGCCAACAAGGTTAGCATTTTTCAAATGAGAAGCAAAATAGTGATGAACAGCTATAGTAAGTCAGAGTAAGAAGAAATGGCCCATACGGAAATAAATACGGGTAAGTCTGAACTTGTTATCATGAGAAATACACGCGTAAATCTATAATATGATAGCTTTATAGAACAATTTTTAAAGGTAATTTAATTTGACCAAGGTCAATGATCAAATCGCGCCGAACGCTGCAATGTCCTACACAGCGACCTTAAGATGTGACCTTCGCAATATTTCATTAATTATAGGTATAATGAATACAATATCGAAGTAATTGCATAAATAAAGTGAAATTAAGATGGAAAGGTGACGAAAATTGCAACAAAGAGGCTTACGTTTCTAGTAGAATCAGTATTTCCGAGCAATGGCTGCGAAATTTTAATTGCCCTTGACAAAGTTGGAAGCGAGCTTAAACAAATGTTTAAATCATGTGGATAATATATCCATTGAAATAATTCAAAGCTGTTATAAAAGTAATTTCAATTGTGCAATTGAATAAAAAATTGACTGTATTTTTTGCACTTATCCTTCATTATTATGCTTACAATTTTACTAAGTGCGAAATATAACATAGTCTTGAATTAAAATTGCAAAGAGATTCATTAAAAAAATTTATTTGCTGAATTTCATCTTATTTTTAGCATAAATAAATTAGGTCTCGAAACCTATTTTGCAATTCGTAACTTCAAATCTGCTGATTATATTATAATATGTTTTATCCAAATTATTAACTGGCCTTCAAAATATGCTTATTCAAACTGCATTGTATTTTCTTCCTTGTCGTTTTGGCTCGCTTTGTTTATTATAAAAGCAACAGACTTCTCTAACTGGAGCTTATAAACGACTAACAGGCTGTAAGAACCTAGCCTTTTTTCTTCAATTAGTCAAGCTATGTGAGTGTGTTTGCACATAGCTAAGTGAGCAGTTGCCAGTAGTTATGTGGGGTTTTGATGACGTCTGATGTCTCTACCTTATGTTGTAATAAATTTGGCTGGCTCTATTTCGCTCCTGTTCCAATTTAGCGACAAGTGCGATTAAATATACATCATCCATCCAATCACTGTGGATACGGTTGATATAAATTTTTTACAGATCAATATTTAAATATTTGTACTAAGAATTCTTATTGTAATATGAAAGCATTTTGCAATCACATTTATGATGCAATCTTGGTGGGTTTCGTTACTTTACTTAGTTTTCGTCATTTTCACAAAATAATACTTTTTTGGTAAAAAAATGTTATTAGGTTAATATTAATACACAACTGATCAACCAGATAAAATATTAATAAAATCTTTTAGAATCATACTACGAAAAGAGTAATTGTGAGAATCATTTCATCAATTACCACTTTGATTTGGGAATTCACTAACAGTGATCGACTTAGCTTCCCTCAAATTTAGTCTTTCTATTTCCACAACCTACCTGTTTTAAATTATAAGAGCTTTCTCTTTATCTGATCACCGAACATTTCAGAGATGCGAAAATAATTAGTTTTATACAAAAAGTGACTTCCTATATAGTTCCATCTCATTGACAGTTAATTCAAAGGATCTCAAAACGTCGCAGATTTGTTACAGACAATAAATTATACATACCCCGTTTAACAATTACTAAGTCGCAATGGTTGAAAACTCTAAAATATTTATTCAAACCTTTATCGGTCTTAGCCATTATTCCACTCATCTGAAATTCGATTGCATGATTGACTTTCAATATTCTTCTTAATATAATTATTTTGTACTTACATTCACAATGTGTGACTAGTAACGGCAATTTATTCTGGTATTAATCGCTAAAAATGAGATTGAATACTGAGCGTTGGTGTGATGAAATCCAAAAGTCGAACCAATCAAAATATAATTTCTGTAACTTTGATAGACACACAATGATTAATTCGATACATTACACCTTTTTATCGTAATTTTATTTTTCGTGACAAACTGATAACTCTCTGTAACTGGAGGTCTTGTTAATCCGTTCAGATTTGTAAGATCGACTTGATTTTCCCCCTCGAAAATCTCAAACTCTTCAGTGATCCTTGTTATAATTCGGAGGATTACTCTCGTTGCCAGCATAAATCCAGGACAGGCTCTTGAACCTATGGAAAAAAACATATATCGTAATATGCAAACTAATAAGTTACGATATTCCATCATGAGTTCACATACCAACCGAAAACGGCATTGAAGATCCAGAGCAATAAACTTTTGGTATCTGATTATCTTGTTTAGCGAATGGGCACACAGCGTTAGGGTTCTTCTCAGCTAAAGATCTTAGCTGAGTTTGGTGAACGGAGTAAATATTATAGAACACAAGACTTCCTTCAGGGACGAGGTAGCCTCCTAAGTAACTGTCAAACCGTGCATAATGTGGCAGAGCCATGGGAACTACACTAGCTAACCGATGCACCACTTCGAGATCATTTTCTGTAAAGGATTCCCCTGGTTTTAGCTTTAGTTTTCCCGTGGCTAGAGTGTAACAGCACCAAACCAGGGTCAATGTTGTTGTATCAACACCTGCTGCCATGATCTCAAATGCAATTCGGTTAATATCGTTCTCTAAATAGAAAAAATTCCTATATTAAGTTATTCACAGACTTGAATATCTCCAATAACAAGATACCTACCTGAAACAGGATAATCCCTATTGTCTAGGAATACTGATAAAAGACACTCCTTGTTTCGATTTGGCGAAGAGCGTAGTTCTGTTACGGCTTGTTTAAGGATCAAAGTAAACTTCTCATACCGATCCCATATTTCATGTACTCCAAGTATCTTGCGAGCAAGTTGTGAATGTACCAAAATTGGATACCTGTTAAAAGAGAATTTCCCGGTCCGTTAAAAATATATATATATATATATATATATATATATATTT